GACAAAATATCCTATTTCCCCACTTTAAGACAAGCTATTATTAACCATCACATCAGTGTTCCACTACTTTTATAAACACTAATTACTACACTCTTGATCTCTGCTCCCCAGAAAATAAGACTGCATATCTTATGAAGAAGGGGGAAGACTGAAGAACTGCCATTACTCCTCCAAAGTCAGAGACTCTGCATCAAGTTCTCAGGACTTAAGGGCTTATTGTTCTGTTTCGTATTGCATCTTCCTTTGCAAAGTACAGCAAATACTCAGGAGTTTCTTTACAAGGCAGAGTGATTTTTACTGACTCTTTTTTATTTTTTTTCTTATTGTGGACAAATATTATCATCATGACATTATTCCTTTCTGTAATATAAATTAAGCAACAGAAAATGATTCTAAATATACCAGGCTTAGTATCTACAAGTGTGTTTTTACATTAACTTTAGCTGTTGGAATTTGGGCTTCCTGGAAAAGCAAAAAGGATCAGCAGAACAGGAATCCAACAGAAATGACCATAGTTGGAGCCCGGAATATAAATGTTTTCATTGGATTTTTTACTGCAACAGATAAGTTTTCTCTTCAAATTTCTTCTTAAAGCATTTGTATTACATAGAACTGGGTGACTTTTCTTTCAAAGCAAGTTAACTTCTTTAATGTCAGGGTAGATTTTACCTAAGTGTGACTTTGAAGGGCTACAGCTTCATGAATCATTTTGGGATGGATTCTTCCAAACCTCTTCACACTGAGAAGAACCTAATGTTTATGTAGATGCTTTTAAATTAAAGAGATTCATTTAAGAGTTTAGTTAAGAGTTAAAGAGTTTAATTTAAGAGTGACTGAAGAATATGACATTTTTCATTAAGGACAGCTGTGGTCTTATTCTTGAACCAGTTTCTGTTATCCAGCATTACAGACCAATTTTACTCCTGGAACAGTCTACTTCTGTGTGGAATAAATTGCCACTCCTGGTGACCACTTGATTCTCTCCTAAAGAGAAAATGTTTCCCCACTGACTGCTGCCCTCAGCTCCCCTTTACTCTCTTTGCTTTGTGGCATCATCTGAAACTTGCTTCCCTGACCTGTTTTTTTGTGAAGGCATTCCAAAATGGTATTTGCCTAAGACGCTTCAGCCAGTGTTGTAGGTTTGTTTTCTGACTGCAATGTCTGCTTGCATATTTTTTCTCTAATGTCCATTTTCTTAGACCATGTAAGTGATGCTCATGAAGCATGGTCAGTCAGTCATGGCAGAATAACAAAGGCAATTCCGTTGCTGTAGCAAAAGTCTTCTTCTGAGAAAAAAAAACTAAATTAAAAATTAACATATTCAAATCGCCTCTGAATGTTTAAACTCAGTAGCTCAACTCAGCATGGGATAAAAAAGAAAATAGAAGCGTGATTAAATATTTGTTTGAGAAAAAGGTTTACAAGCTCTCACAGTGTTCTACTAGCTGAGAATATGTACTGCAATTCTTATATTTTCATCTTCCACATTTACAGCCGTGTGGGTTGGAGGAGCATATATCAATGGCACAGCTGAAATCATCTACCTGCCTTCAAAAAGATTATTGTGGGTCTACCTGTGCGATTTGCCTTGTCCCTTATTGTAAATAATTCATTTAAGACACATAAGCTTTAAAATTATGAGTATATTAAGATATCTAACAGAGTATAGAGTACATTTTAAAGGTGATTTTGATTCTTCAGTCTCCCATAGAACCAGAATAAGCATTTATAATATCATCCTCTGAACTGAAGCATAACAAGTTAGGGTAGATTGCAGCTAGTGTAGAGTTTTGCCTCCTTGGAGGGACTTATAGGGCAAAAATCTTAACTGGCAAGTTTAGAAGAGTGTTGCTACGTGTATATTGCTTTTTTTACGTGGTCTCTTACTTACAGACTAAGGAGAATATTGTTATCTTATATTTTTTCTTTGAAATTTCTGTGTGATGGAATAACACTATCATGATTTTTCCTCTAAAATATATTCTTCTGAGTAGTGTCATCTCAGAAGGAATGTGTAGTGCATCCAGCTTATCCCACTTATACCGCAGCTGGTCACTATTGTGTTGCAACTAAGTTAAGTGTGCAGTGTTCTATATTCAAGCTGCCATTTCTAACTCCGAGAACTATTGAACTCACACTGAGGTTCAACTGTCTTGCCAAGAACAAAGTTTCTTCCAGGCCACACTGTGTTACACCATAACTCTCAGGGACACAGTATGATGAAAGCAAGGAGGCCTGTGCGGACCTTACACGTGAATTTCTAAAATAACAAAGACCTTTATTCTCAAGTCAAAGACAGGAGTCCAACTGACATGAATATGAATCAGGCTTGGAAATATATTGCCAGCATTGCTAAATGTGAGTAATTCTTACTAATGAAATTGAGGAGTGCAGGTCTGATCCTGCAATCTTTGCTCAGGTCAGTAGTGCCCAGACAAGCAGTCCTGTTGGCTTCAGGGTTAGGCACTATACATGTTCTTTGGTTTTAATGAGATGGCTGCACATCTGAAGTCTAATATTTAGATGAAGGTGGGTGGGACTCAGTTCAGTGCGCAGATAAAACAATATAGTTCTGGGAAGAGGCAATGAAGCCACCAAAATGAAAATGTAATCAGAAAAGGAACATATATCAACATGCTGCCTTACATGGTCAAGGACAAAAGTTTGTCTCTTTTATAGCCAAATGTGAGTCTCTGACATTTTCCACAGGATGCAGTTCAGAAAACTTTATGTCTCATGTTGGTAGGTCATTGGGAATGGAGAGAAGGTTATATGTGGTTGTCCTCTGACCTAACTTCCTGTTACAGTCACACAGGTATCTTATGCCATTTGGGGTGCCCTAGAGGGTCCTACCTGGTCTCCAGAAAGACGTGTATGTGTATCCAAAGTGGATGGTTGTATCTGTCAGCTGTAAGTAGATATTCTTTATAATCTGGGACCTCTCAGATGGACAAACCTCCATGTTTAGTCAAGTGAATTTAGGATTTGGTGTCTGGTTGGCTGCATCATTCTCTAAGGTCCATTATATATGATTTCCACACTCAACTACATCGGTCTGATACACAAATACCATATTATTCTTACTTTTTTTTTTCCTGGAATATCCAAGAATTATGTGACAGACTGCACTCTCTGTAGACCGCCTTTCTCATATAATGTGGTGTGCTGGCATCAAGAGAATAACATAACCTTATTTATTCTGTATTCTGCACATATTAAATCCGTCTTAAATTACTTGACTGCTGTTCTTCTCTGCAGTAACATCAATGAGGGTCATCTTGGATACTGAAGGCTCTTTGGCTATCATTGTCTCAGCATGCACTGTCATGCTTTACACTCTACTGGGAAGTTTCTGCTGCATACACTGATTTCATCCAAATGGTTTTCATTACCCTCAGCCTGGCAAGTCTTGTGCATTTCTTTGTTATCAGTTTCCTAACCAAGGGGAAAAATTCTGCTCTTCTTTTCAGCATGTCTTAGGCCAAAAATATCTCCATCAATACTGGTCCTTGTCCTACAGTTCCTCTTTAGGACAACACGTCTCCTGAAATATCTTATGCTGTTTATACCTTATGCGTTTCAGGCAGTGCCATTGGCCTTGCTGGGTGAAAGTAGTTAGGTCTGCACACAAGTAAAGTCTGCAGAACCTGTCCAGGACAATCCTGGATGGAGAGAGATCTGTCTACTGAAAGCACCAATTGTCCTGAATTATAGGCTAATGTTCTTGATGATGCCGTGAACCAGAAACATGTAGATCTAGATTAAGGAAAGGGCAGAAATGAAGACTGTAAGTTTGGGTTTAATCTTATGTACCTCTATGTTCTATATTTACCCTAATTTAAATATCTGTCCTCCAAGAACAAGGACACTGGGAAAATTGTTAACTATTTCCATTTCTATCCTAGTGCATCTTTTGCCCTGGTGAACTCTGCAACAGAAAATATTTACTACGCTGCAACTCATCAATCTTACCAAGACCCTTGGATTGGGAAAGATAGAAAAGCTGTATCTTGGAAGGTGGCTGGATGACTTCTTCTACTTGGTATGGAATATTTATTGGACAAGGGTTTGGGAGAAGGAATTATGCAGGGACTTTCTGTCCAGAAAGCTTGTGGGTTCTTCCAACCAGGAGCCTTACATTGCAAAGCCAGTTGACAGGAGCCAGATACAGTACAAAACCCTCTCTCAGCAACCCTGCAGCACACTAGATGGAGTGGGGAGATCCAGGGCTCAGCTGTGGGATGAAAAGTAGCAGGGACACTGCATCCTTTAACCACATGGAGGAATGTGCCTCTTGAGTAAAACCATCTAGGCAGCCAGTTCTGCTCCTAGCACCTAAATGAGTAGTTTCCTACCTTTCGAGGTGTTGGTTTCACAGCCTCAGTAGTGTGCTTTTAATATAAATATGTAAAATTCCCTCTATGTGAAAAAAATAATAAATGACTGTAGGTCATCAGCAAGCATGGTGCTATTGACTCAACTGCACAACTCAGGTTTTGAGCTGCCAATATAGCCAAGACTACAGAAGGTTGTTCTTCTCTCACTGAACTGGTAATAGGGACATACAGAAGCTTGAGCTTTTTTGGTGAGGACAGTACCTTCAGATTTTATCTGATTAACTTTGTGTGCTAAGGAAGTGAAAATTATGACATTGTTTTTCATTTTAGAGTATAATCTAGCTAAGTTTGTGTAGATTTATTTTAAAAAATGGCATTCCTGAAAAAAAATAACTTTCCCTTCTTCTGTGCCTGATTCACTATTCCAAGCACCTGATTCATTATTCCAAGCAACCTATTTTTCAGCTTTCCCAGTCTGCCAAACCATTAACCTGTTTTCATTAAAATTTTACATACATCACAATGAAAACAAAAGAAAAGGACATCCTCGACCATAAGAAATACCATCCTCAAGAGTTAGAGCTGGGCAACATTTGAAATGAGAATTTTATAACACTAAACATCTGAATGGATGGATGATGCCCTACAGCAGCCAGCAGCCTGGTGAGTACAACTGTTAACCTCTGAATGTTTCAGGTGCTTGGAAGCATCCCACGGCAAACCTACTTCCAAAGGGTGCTCTCTGCTGCCTCAATAGGACAGGCAAGGCTTGTCTCCTACATCTCAGGACTCGGGTGCTTTGCAATGGCCATCCCTTCTGTGCTCATTGATGCAGTTGCAGCATAAACAGGTAAAACTAATTGTTGTCTCTGAGTAATTAACATGCTTTTGTCAAAAGCGATCAAAATGGGATCCAAAGACTTCAAATTACCCAGACCTGTGGCTCTTGCCACCAAGATGGATGATCTCTACCAGAAATATGGAGCCCTCTGAGGTTCAGTGCACAACTACCTAAAGACACTTAAACAGCCCCAGGACCTGTTTAAAGCTATTTTTTATGATGAAATGACTTTTCATGGACTTTGTTTTGAGGAAAGTTGTAAAACCCTGTATAATCCTATTTTAGAAGAAAGCTTATGCTTGCTTCTATTAATGCCTTTTGCAGGTAAGACCAAGCAATATTACTACAGATTGCTAACAAGATTCTGAAGAAAACTCTCTAGAAGGAAGCAAGAAGTTCAGTTCTGTAAACTCACAGCCTCTACCCAGGGGACCAGCCCTGCGCTGGTTGTGAGCAAGGGTTGAAGAGCAGACAGATCACTGAACATTTGAGGAAACCAGTTGAAGTCACAAGTTCATCTGTAATTAGGGAAATCAGAGCAAAACACCCTTCTCCTCATGAGCTGGGTCTTGAGGTTGAGCTTTAACTATCCCAATTCTGGAAACACACAAAGCACAGCTATTTCTAGAGATGCTGCAGAGGAAAAGGAAAATCTTTAATCTAGTGAGAGTTGCAGTATGCTAAGGGGAATCACAAGGAACCACAAAAGAACCAAAAAAATTAATCTAAGTCCTAAAATACCAAGTGGGTCTCAGTTCTTAGCCCTGTTGTGACTGGTCCCTGTGAAAAGGCAACTTCAAAGGCAGCAGAAATGTCCATGAAGGGTTTATTGTGACTTTTCCTTGTTTTGTTTAAAAGGCTGGAATCAGACAAGCTATGGTCTTCCAAGTCCACTAGAGAGAGGGGAATCAGCAATGATACTACCACTTGTTTTGCACTACCTCTGCCCAGCACATATCTCCACTGCTGGGTTGGGAGCCATTGCTGCTGCCACAATGTCCTCTGCAGATTCAGCTCTTCTGTCTGCTAGCTCCATGTTTGCTCACAATATCTATAGGAAAATCCTGAGGAAAAAGGTACTTGGTTGCAGTATTAAGCAATTAAGCAAAACTGTCAGGGAAGACAGTTTTGTTTCAAGACTATTTCTAATCCAGTCTGTGACTGGAGGTATCAGTCCTTCAGCTGCTGAACTGATTCCTGGAGCTAGAGTTCCAAACGTAAGTCAGGTGTGCTCATATCCTTGGTAGGGGTACCAATACCCACACTGGTGAGCTTTGCTCATTCTAATATGACAGATATAAAATTTGGATCGACATATTAATGGAAAAAGCATAAAACCATGACCCTCTAAAGTCCAGAGGACAGATCCATCTCCAGGGATGCCTGCCTTGGGTGGCTGCTGGTAGCACATAGTGCCTGAAAGCATCAAGGGCTTGGTGAGAACCAGCCCAAGATAGGGCAGTGCTGGCCATCCCACCAGTAAATGCCATGTCTTTTGCGCTACAATGTCTGTTTTACAGGCTGCAGAGACAGAGGTGTTATGGCCTATGAGGACCTCCATGTTGGTGTTTGGGGCTGGGGCTGACAGTCTGGCTTTTTCCTCCAGCTCTATCTATGACCTCTGGTTCCTCAGCAGGGAGCTGGTGCACACCCTCCTCTTCCCCCAGCTCTGCTGTGCCCTCTTTACTCCCAGCACCAACACCTACAGCTCAGCTGCTGGATTCTTGGTTGGGCTCCTGCTGAGACTACTAGCAGGGGAGCCTGCCCTGAGCATATCCCCTCTCATCTGCTACCCAGCCTGCTCCCTGGTGAACAGAATCTACAGCCAGGTCTTCCCTTTTAAAACATTCACCATGCTTCTCACCTTTGGTGTGATCCTTGCTGTTTCATACCTGGTCAAGGTTTTGTTTCAGAGAAACCTCCTTCCCCACAGGTGGGATGTTTGCAACATCATGGGGGGAGTCGGCACCCTCATCCTCCTGCAGCAGATGGAGAAACAGAGGGGTTCACCAACCACTGCACTAGAAGAGAACCGCAGCTAAATATGGGGCTTCATTTGAAAGGCCACTGTGCATTCAGCAGTTAGAGTATGGCACAAACAGCATAGCTTTTCCCTTTGCTCTCTCCAGTATGAATTATTTAAAGTCCTCACAGAGCAATAAAAACAGATCCTGTTTATGTGTGAGCTTGAAGTCTGCAGTGATCAAAGTCACATGGTGATGGAGCACAATCCTGCGGTGGTGACCACAGGGCAGGCACCTTGGGCCCCAGCAGTGGTTGCTTCGAGGTGCCCCTGGATCCCCACCTGAAAGCAAAGCTATAAATCATGCTCCAACATTTAGGGCATTCCCAAGTCACATACTTTTCTCACCACAAAGGAGACAAATTAATGTTTAATAGATTGGATATTCTTAATTTAAAAAAAAAAAAAAAAGGTGAGCAAACCTGTTTCCATTACGCAGTTAAGGGTTTAGCATAACCATCCCTGGGGATAATATCAGACCTATAAAAACACAGATTACTGAAAGCAGTGCAACCACTACAGCAGTCCAGCAGTAATATCATCTCTGCACCATTCCTTGTATGCTTTACAAAGCTTTCCTGGGTACAGCAAAAGCTTTTGGTTACACCTCTCTCCACTGCGGTACCAGGCCACACAACCAGTGTGGATCCCACAGCCTGGGTATGTGTGAGACATCCCCTCTCATATGACCTGGTAGGGCAGAAGCAGATGTGCAAGATGAAGCAACAGCCCTTAATTATTCAATAAGCCACTATCTCAAAAACTTAATCTGTAGCTGTAAATTAAGTACTTTATTAGAAATTGTTAGCCACAGAATTCATGTATTTTAGACTAAGCATTTTAAAAGGAGAGTGGTAGCCATAGAACTCATGTATTTTAGTAAGGTTGGAAGTTCTCAAGGGAAAGTGTAGTTCATAATTTCTTGTGAAGATTCATTACAGACAAGAATTTCAATAAAACAGAGATGGTTGCTTGCACATGTGAAGAGACTGATAAAAGCGAGAAAGTAGATGAAACAGGGTTTAGGCCTAGAATCAGGTCCAGAGGGCAGGAAACCACACCAGAACCAAGGAGTCAAGAGAAAAACAAGCGATTTGAGGGGGCGTGCTGCAATCCTTGAATCTGTAATTAGAGGATGGCATAAAATGATGAAACCTGTGTGATTTGTGGTGCATCCTTTGGGATTTTTTCTGATGCACTTGGTGCTGCAATAAACGTGTATGTTTTTTCTATACTCAAAATGAGTCTAGAGAGTTTCTTCTCCGACTTTTCGGCATCAAACCAGATGTTAAGAACAGAGACTCTTGGATGGGTTTTCTCTAAAATACTTGGTAAATCACTCATGTGAAGGTGTTACTCTAGCACAGTGAGAGGATGGTAAGGGACACACACACAAACTGCTGTGTGAGAACTCAAAGGATTGTGATGACAGAAAGGTGCTGGAAACTAATCCTGAACCTTTCCACAGAGACATGAAATCCCAAGGGCAAGATGCCAAAAGATTCAAGCCTCAGGTCAGTACAAAAAGCCCCTGATATCTTGTTTGCATAAATTCTCAATGGCTCGGAAGAGAAGAAACCCAGCTAAGTAGTGAGTTCGGCCCCTAATCTGAAGTCTGATGGACTAAGAACATCCCACAGTGGGATGGGACATTAAGATGTGAGCTGAATTAAAGATTCAGGAGGATCCTGCAGCAATGGCTCATGGATGGTTGTCATTTTATACTTCCCTCAGCAGCTGTGCAGCAGCTCACCAGGGATCAGCTGCAATCCACCCACAGCAGTCAGCAGGAACCATGCTCACAATACCTTTACAAAGTGGTTGTGGGAGCTGCTGTGCATGGAAACACCTGCACTGTTGGAGGGAAGGTATTTACTGGCATAACCAAAATACCCTACAGTAGAGCAACCCTCACAGCCATCTGAGCTGCTGAGAGTGAAAACAATATGCCATTCCTTGAATTGCTTCCAGCATGTGCACATACAAGGCGAGAATCTCCACTGGTGCCACGATGCACAGCTGCAGCAAGTTCAGTGAGGAGCCACAAGTCACTCTGAACTATACCAAGGCAAGTGTTATGGCTCAGGAGGAGGACTGGCAGCCCCTTGCTCTAGATATGGCTTTGATGACTGCTCCCCATGGGGAACATTCATCTCCTTTAAAATATCCATCCTCAGAAAGGTGGAGATTCTGCTCCCCATCAGACAAATATCACACAAACTTATGCTTTGCCCTAGTGTTAGTGAACACCTGGAGACACTTAGCTCCCCATGCACAGCATGTTTATATGCTTTATTAAACAAAGACCAGAAATTCTTTCCTGTGTCTCTAGAGACTGCCACAAAATATTAATTATAATGTGTCTAGAAAATGGGGAAAAAAAACTGTTTGGAAAATTAAAAGCATTATAATTTACTATAGCCCTAGGTGGTCACCCACTGAAATCTTCCACACCCCAGTGATTTGAGTGGGAGCATGTGAGGTTGTGCTTAGCTAAGGAAGACACCAAAGCTATCATTACCTTAGCACCAGAAGAACAGGGCCCTTGTTAAATCACAGTTGCTGAATGCTGATTCAACCATACTCCCTGTAAGATTCAGGGCTGACCTAGTTTGGGGACCTGTACCTCCCCCTGTGTGGAGCAGACCAAAGCTGACATATTACACTTGAACCAGGGCATAGACTTGCTGCATGGCCCAGCTGAGTCGTCAAACTCTGATGTTCTCGTGCCAAGGTCAACACCCTGCTCCCTGATCACAGAATCATACTATGTTTTGGGTTGGAAGGTACCTTAAAGATCATCTAGTTCCAACCCTCCTGCCATAAGCAGGACTGCCACTAGACCAGGTTCCTCAAAGCCCCATCCACACTGGCCTTGGACACTTCCAGAGATGGGGCAGCCACAACTGGGCAACTTCTTCCAGTACCTCACTGCCCAATGAGTAAATAATTGCTTCCTAACATCTAATGTAAACATAACCTCTTTCAGTTTAAAAACATTATCCCTTGTCCTGTCATTATCTGCCCATATAAAAAAGCCCTCTCCCTCCTCTTTACAAGCCCCCTTTAGGTACTGGAAGGACACATCCCAGAGCCTTCTCTTTTCCAGGCTGAACAACTCCAACTCTCTCACTCTGTCTTCATAGGAGAGGTGTTTCAGTCCTCTGGTCATCTTTGTGGCCTCCTCTGAATCCACTTCAACAGGTCCATGTCCTACCTGAGCTGATGACCCCAGAGATGGGTGCAGCAATCCAGGTGGGGTGTCACAAGAACAGAATAGAGGAGCAGAATCACCTCCCTCGACCTGCTGGCCACATCTCTTTTGATGCAGCCCAGGAGCCATCCCACGCAGCAGCTCTGAAAGGCAAACGCTTACATCTTGAGACCCCTTTTCTCTACACCATTGTGCTCAACCTCTCCATCTGCTTCCCCGCAGAGTCCCAAAGTTTGACATGAAAGCCTTTCTGTGTTAACGTGCTTGGCATGGTGGACAATAGATCCACAGCGTCCTGAGAGAGCGTCAAAGGGCATTGCTGAAAAGCATCACCACCACCATGTTACCACCCAGCATCACCACAGAAACTCACAGACACTTCAAATAGGAAAATCTCAGCACTGTAAGGGGGCATACTCAGCAATACTCTGCCCTTTCAAAGCTTCCCTAAATTTCATACCACTAAAAATGCTCAGCTTTGTGTGAAGAGAGGAAAACACCAAATACGCAATTACTGTAGCTCTCCTGAATGCTTACCATTTTCCATCCTTTTATGACTCCCTCCTCAGAACATCCCCCATCAAGCTTAAAAACAAAACATTAATCAAGGTCAAAGTTTTGAAAGCAATTAGCTCCAAGTAAAATAAATATAAAAGTAATTCTAGCCTATACTTAATGACCAAATGCCTAGTTGTTCCAGTACAGCACACCCAAGTCCTTGTGGTGTTGCTGGAATGCGAGAAAATGACCCAGCTCCCAGGAAAGTCTTCCTCTCAGAGGAACTGCCTCCAGTTTAGTATTCCTTTATTTTTATTTCTCCCTCTTTTAAAAAATTCATTTGGTCACTGGAGGGCCCCAATTCACCTCTCTGCACATGGATTTATCTCCCTTGACTCTTAGATGTGCCCATGTCAATGACTCTGTTCAGTTCCAGTTTTCATTAACTTTCCTCAGCCTAGATAGCTGCTACCTGGTTTTGGCATTTTTGACATTTTCTAACTTTATTAATACCCTATCTGTCATATTTAATTAAAAACAAAACAAAACCAACAAAACAAACAAACAAAAAAACCCAACAACCAACCAAACAAACCCAACCTAATCAAACCCAAAACCAACCCCAAACCAAAAAACCAACCCAACCTGCAATTTGGGAAGCATTTGTTTTATTGTGAGTTCTTGGCATTTCATCAGATCCTCACCAGGCATCTTCAGAAGTCTGGTTTATGTAGACAAGAAAATCAGGAAGATAACACTACTGAAGGGAAATCTGCATCTCTTCCCTTTTTCACTTATTAATTTTTAGGATTTCCTAAATATGTCCTCAATGGAATAACACTTGAATTCAGAAGGAAAGTAAACAAACACATGCAGGTTTGCCCGACATTTCTAGCACTGCTGGGGAGATACTTCCAGGTGAACTATGAACTGCATGGGGCCAGGATGAACCTCTCATTGTTTCCAAATTCTGTGTTCTATGGCTTTTTCCCAAATGCCACACACCAGTCCTGCCTTGCAGTTCTCAGACTTTGCTACAACCCCTGCTGCAGAAAACATCACCTCGGTTAGCAAAGTTTGTTAGTCTTCTAATAACTTTTCCTGCTCTAGACTACCACTGACTTGAAGAATTGAAAGGCAGTAATCTCCCACAGCAAAACAATTGTAAATATGTAAAAAGAAATAAAATTTCTTTGCTGATCCTTAAAACTTCAAGATGATCCATCATCCCCAGGGATGGGAATGCTGCTGCGTGGCTTTCTCTGCCCCCAAGTAGGGACAGGATAACCTTTGTGTCTGGAATTTGGGCTGTCTGGAATAATCAAAAGAAGAAGAATAACCTGAAGTAGAGTAAGGTTTCTACTATCAGACACAAAGCATGAACATCCCAAAAGACATACAGATAAAGTTTTCTTGAATTCTGCTGGGAAATGTCTTTCTTCAACATTAAACAACCTCAAGAACAAACAATCTCAGTTCTTCAGCCAAAAGGGCAAATGGTTGCTTTGTGTCTTTTAAAAAAATCTTTTGGCAGGTCTCTTGCAGTGCCTGTCTTGGCAGAGGTGTCCATTTTCCTCCTCCCCTCCTCAGTTTCCCTCCACCAGCTGTCTTACCTGACTCTGAGGTATTGTTGCATGAGTTCAACTTTGCAGATCTCCTTTAAGCAACGCACTTGACTGACTTGTCCTTTGCTTTCCCAGTCCCTTGAAGAGGGACAGCATTTTAACTCACTCTGAGAAGGAATTTGAGATCTTTGGAAGAATGCTCTGCTATATATGGTGAACAGTCTTTTTGCGTCATGTGAGAATTTCTGTCCATAGCTGGAGGGCAGTTTTCCCGATCAGTTTAATTCCCACACTGGACAAGAAGAGGTTATTTATCTTTACTTTAGCAAGACTTTTAACAGTCTCTAACAAAATCTTCAAAGGTAAGATGATAAATTATAGGTTAGATAAGTGGACAGGGAGGTGGACTGAAAAGTGGCTGAACTGCCAGGCTCAGAGATCTGTGCTCTACAGCACAAAGTCCAGCTGGATGCCAAAACCTAGTGTGACCCAGGGTTTAAAGCTGGGCCCACTACTGTTTAGCATCTTCACTAATGGCACGCCAGACACAGTGAGTTTGGAGATCATACAAAACAAGGATGAGTGGCTGACACAAGAGATGGATGTGCTGCCATCCACAGGAACCGGGACAGGCTGGGGAAACTGACCAACAGGAACTTCACGAACTGCAGCAAAGTTAAGTGCCAAGTCCTGAAGCTGAGGAGGAACAAACCAGGTGCTAAGGCTGGGAGCCAAGCCAGCAATGTGTTCTTGTGAGAAAAAACACCAACAGCTTCCCGGG